AGGGCCACACTAAGCCCATCAATTATAATAAGGTTAAATAAATTTACTCAGAGTCCAGATGAAAGCTTTGGTCTACTTCTCTAGGCCTTCAGAAACCCTTCACCTCTATATTAACTTAGATCCAGATGCCAGAAGAGGCCGATGAGTCCTTGCAATTCAGTTCATCTCCTAGTCAGCCCCTGATACTTGGTGAAAGCTACAAAGACTTGAAAACGGCCCTCAGACCCCATGACTGGAGCTCACAGACTTAGTCTTCAAGGTCTTTAATAACTGTGATAAGTACAGGTGAATAGAAAAAAAGGGAATGAGACTAGTAACCGTCCTAAGAACAGAAGGAGGCTTTCTAAATGGTAGCCTCTGCAACTGAAGGAGTATTTCAGGCTCAAGGGGGACTTGCCTGAGATCTCTTCCCAACCAACCACGACACACTCTTTGCTTCCTCCAGAACCTCGGATTGACAGGCCCTGACAATGGATCTGGCTCCAATGAATTGGCTGAGGCTTGGGTTACTCTCTTCGTTGCCTCTAAGTTACCTAATTTTTAAATTGATACTGTAGTCACTTTTTCCTGCTCTGAGTTTCTGGTCTCTTGCTCCCTTTGCCTGTTTTCTTCATAAAGATCAGAGAGAGGCCACAACCTACTTTATAGAGTCCACGTTTATTCTGTGCTCTGGGAGATCAAGTCTTTGCTCATTCCTTTCTATAATAGTAAGTCCCAGGTGTCCAAACCCCCTCTTAGGATGAGATATTTTGTTTGTGTATACATATGTGCATGTGTATCTGTTCTTATGGTATGTCATATGTTATATGGTAAAAGTCCTTAAGGAATTCTGTTCAATTTGGCTTATGACTAAACAAGAGCACTTACATAAATTCATGTAAATGCTTTTTTTAAGTTCATGTGATGAGTAAATCTTTAACAAATAAACTGGTTTCAAATATATTAAAAAGGAACAATTTAATAGATGAAGATCTTTATAATTTCCAGCATATATTTTTATCCAGAGTTTTATTGAGTAAAACAGCTGACATTTATGTGTATATGTTATGTATGGTAAATATTTAACATGCTATAAAAACAATTAACAGGAAGATAGATCAAGGACTAGTTTTTCTATTATTTTGCTTTTCAACAGTCGTCAAGGAATAATGGCTAACGAAAAAAAATTAAGCAATTATAAATGGGATAGTCCAGATACTTAAGATCTTAAAGTAAAGTTTAATTGAGGTGATATTTGTAAAATATCTGAGTCATCTTTAAATAATATACTCTGATTAACATAAAATTTGGATTACTCTACTGTTTGACTTTTTAAACTTTACAAGAGTAAATCTATTAATAAGATCATTCTGTTGGGTAAAACTGATATTTAAAAAGATGTAAATCCAGTGTTAAGCATGGACTCATGGAAGGCTTGGATGACTCCCTGGTTCTTCATGAGTCCTCCTTAGAGCTCTAAGAAACTTGTTAAACTAAGATTTTAAAGTTTATTAGCTGCATATTCATATGCTGTTGTTTTATGCTAAATGTTAAAATTGCTAGAAGTTTAAAATTCTGATATGTATATATACACACACACACACACACACACACACACACATATATATATATATAATATATATATACACACATACAATATGTAATTAAAAGCTCAATGGCTCCTGTGGAGATATCAGATTTCCCAAGGTGGGGGAGAAGATAAACATGGGCATTCAGTAAATCCTCTTCAAAGGCACACTCATGGGAGATTCTTTAAATAAATAAATAAATAAATAATCCCCTTACAACCCATCTACCCTCTAGGCTCAAGTGTGTCAGTTTCCCATTTGTTTGCTTGCTTACCAATTAGCAAAAGATAAATTTAGCCTGGCTGGTCACCTCCAGTTGAGACAAACATTCATATGGCCCTATAATAAAGGGATCCCAGAATTGACTTGGGGTAGATCTTGGTATAGGAGACAAGCGTTAAGAAACTCCTATCCAGAAGCCTGATAGGACAATAGCTGAGGCATAGGGTGGGATGGGTTAAGGCCAGAGCCTGGCTGTCAACTTCTGCCTTCCAACACTTTCTCTCAATTAAGCGTCTTCCCCTTTAGACTCTCCCCTTGGCTACAATCTCAGAGACTGGGACAGATCTATTGGCCTGACCCTAGTGTAAGTTAGATTATCAAGAGGTTTAGCCATTAAAATGAAAGCTTAAATTATGACTGCATTCTCCAGATAGACCTTTTGAATAGCCAATAGCCAGATGCTTTTTAAACCTTCAAAATGGGCTCCACCCTGCTGGCAACCAGTAGATGGCATAATAGTTATGTCATTAGACTCCTACTGAAGTCTGAGTTCCACACCTGGCAGCTTGAAACTCATGCTGGGTGCGTGTGCATGTGTGCTCCAAATCCTGAGAGAATAGAGGAAAAAGGAGTATGACATGGTCATCCTTGCTGGGGGATGATTTCTCACTTTCTGTCTCTGGTGAACAAAACAAACCAAACTAACAGGATATATTAGAACTTAGGTTAGCACAGTTTCTCCCTCACAGATCAGAACAGGTTTCAAAATGGCAAGTCACCTTAACCTTTGATTTAACTTTAACTTAACATCCAGAGTTACTCATGATAATCCTGAAGGCTAGGAACTTCCCCCAAGGTCAGGATCTGGAAAATTCTAGATCAGAGCTTCTGTTTTAGAGCAGACTAAATTTTTCCAATGTGAAAAGTGGCTTCTAGAAAAGACAATACCCATGACAGGCATTCCCCCGTCCCCACTGAGGTCTGTCTACAACGTGGAGGAGTTGGCTGCTGGAAACGGAAATGCTCTGAATTCTGAAGAGAGCCTGGTACTTCTGAGTCCATGTTGGTCTCTAAAATTGAGGATTGATTGGGCCTGACATCACAGTGACCCCCCTTGGATATATAAAATGCTCACTAGACAAGCCTCAGGTAACCGTTAGAGTGAAAAATAAAAATGCGTTAAGATACTAACTTTTGTGTAAATCAGAGGCTAAGGTTATTTCCAAAAGTAAACTCATAAGAAAAAAAAAAGGAAAAATGATAGTAAACAGGAAAGAAAAAAATTATGAAAGTAATTTTGTAAAGGAGTTTTATATATGGCAAGTTGACCAAATTTTTAAGATGTGTTTTTCGTATTTAAAGAGGTGTTCTTATCACCATCAGCTCTCAATATTCAAAAACAAAATAAAACAAAATAAAAACTCCAAAAGCTCATGCAGGGGTCAGGAGCAGCCTTGGATGACCTCCTTCAGGCTGCCATTACTGCCTACTACTAGGGCCACCAGGGGATTCCCCAACTGCCACTTCACAGAACCCTTACTTTGCTTACAGATTGTTTTTGGCCTCTATTAAGCTGAGATACTGTAAAAATTGACACCATGGTTATGTTAGAAGGAAGTGCTATTTCATAAAACCTACTAGCTACCAGTTTCTCATTAGGGCTACGTTGACAAACACCTAGGTGTTTAAGAAGGAGAATTGGAGGGCAAAAATCAAGTCCTGAGGCACTTATCCTCTCTTCACATTTCAACGTGCCTTTTTAATACTGGCTTGTTCTTTTACAGTGGCTACTCTACTTACCTGTGTTTACCTACTAATGGGACTAGGATATACACTTTGGTCTACATCTCTTCACTACTTTAAAACTCTTTCCTCTGACTTTCAACAAAGCCTAGACAAAATATCCCGAAGTTTCTTACAGATTCAAGACTAAGTAGACTCCATGCCCATGGAGTCAGTCCATAACTCTTCAAAACCCAAGAGGTCTAGACCTTCTTACAGCAGAAAAAGGGGGTGCTGTCTCTTTCTGGAAGAAAACATTGTGTTTTTATCCTTCCCATGGTTGCCCCCACTGTAACTCTACTCTTAGTTTCTTTAGGCCCTCCACTCCAAAAAATGCTAAACTGCTTCATCTGAGACACCGTCCAACAATTGACCCCAAAACAGGCTGAAAACATCTTGCTCCTCCAGAGGGTACAATATTCACACCTGCCTCCAGGGGACACACCCCTTCTCATCACCCTAAAGGACAACTCTTCTCAGCATGAAGTAGCTCCAGAAGACTGACCATAGTCCATAATCCCATGCCCCACTCTCTCCCCTTTTTTTTTTTGAGAGGTTTTTGCTATAGGGCATGTGCGCTTGCCAGACAGAGAGAGACAGAGAGACAGAAAGTGAGAAATCACCCCCGGGGGGATGGCCACGCCGCAATCTCTTCTCCTCCATTCTCCTCTCAGGATCTTGGGCACGAATTCACACGCGCCCAGCGTGAGTTTTAAGCCACCGGGTCTGGGACACGAACTGCGGTCGACTACGTGGGAGTCCAGTGACAGAGCCATTACGCTAACTGCTGGTCCCCCTTCCCATGTTTCTTTATAAAAGATAAAAAGCCTGGAAATATTAGGTCAGCTCTTCAATGGCCTTTAGGTAATTTCACATCAGAAAATGAGATGGTTGCAGTGACTTTTGGCCAGAATTCACTGACCAGAGCCCTCCCTTTATGACAGTTGACACCCATAGATGGGTCAATAAGGTTACAGTGGCAAGTAAGCTTATCAAAGTACCCGCCATTCTTGTGACCCTATCCTTCCACCCCTTCTGTATAAATATATCATGTCTCCTTCATAGGGTGGGCTGAAGCAGCTCCAGTTTCAGGGTCCTGGATGCTCTTTCTTTCAATAAACTTTCTTTCCTCTTCTTTCTTTTTTTTTAATCTCAAAACAAAACAAAACATTCTCTGATTGGACCTTTAAGTTCCTGAATTTGGAATCCTGGCCACAAAAAATAATCTAAGTGTGGGTTTACTCATTTATGATCTTCAGTACTTATTCAGTGAATCACTTCACTTCCTATATATTTCAGAAAAAAACCTTGAAGACACTAGTTGTGTAATGCATGAGAACATTATATACATTTTCTGCTTATAGCATATTAACAATCTCAATCAATGGACACTTAAGGAATGGAAATGTCATAATAAATGCTGCATACCATCTGGGATATTGCCAGAGAAGCCTGCTGCCAGATATCCATGACCAACCTCTCATCTGCTTCGAAGTTTGACTCTACGTTTTCTAGTGCGTAATCAATCTTGCCCTTTATTACTGACTTCATTTTTGGCTTTGGTGAAGATGTTTCGGGAGAAATGGATATTCGAGGAACTAGAGGAATTCTTTGGGAAACAAACAAAAGAAATATAAAGATTTTATTTAAGAGAATTTTATTTTTGTCACCTGGTAACAGTGTGAATTTTGTTGTCCTCGTTTCAAAATCTTCCTGGAAGAGTTATTTTAATGGAGAAAAGATTATAAAACACTACATTGAAATTTTTGTGGTCTATAAATTCTTGTTAATAAAAGGAAACTCAAAACAAACAACAAAACATATTTTCAGGTTTAGTTCTCAGTAATTATAAAGAAGAAGATTAAATAATAGCCATTATAAAGAAAGTCAATTTTGAAATCTGTTGCAGACCATACACTTCCAATGAGGAATTAATCAGTCACGAAAAGCAAACAAAACAGAATCAGGCATCACTTACTTAAAATGACTAATATCATCTAGCATCCTGAAACACTTGGTTAGAAAGTACAATATGGCAGATCTGAGGTCTGAAAGGGACTATAGTATAGAGACCACAAGGTTTGGGTGGTGGGTGAAGTCAAGTTCCCCCATGGCTCCTCTTTCTCTTGAATATGGATGGTGAAGGCTTTCTCTTTCTTTTGGCAAGTGCTACAAAAACACAGTTACATTTTCTCTCCCTCTTGTCTCAACCATACAGTTGCATCTAGGTAGAAATTTTAGAACTGGTCCTAGAATATTCTATTCCCTAAGGGTTCCAGAATCTCAAAGGTTAACAGAAGCAGAGAGAGTTCCACATGGTAGAACGCTGTGATTGGGAGTCATCTTTGGTAGTAGCAGGGGCAAAGGGCTCTCTTCTTGAGGAAAGAACAGAGAGAGAGTAGATCCAAGGATGTCTTTGTTGAAACTTAAGGAGGAGAGTCAGGATTGACAATATAGGAACAAGCGTTTGGTTTTGTAGACTGAAGATGCTGGAGATCAGAGCAGTGATTCAGAAAGACAACTGTGAATTTCAGCAAACAATTAATGTGGTCTTGTTTTGAAGCCTTGGACAAGGATTTTTGAACTTGCAACTCTGATTTTTAGTATTTAAAATTCTGACAGTGTACCACGCCTATAAAGGCAATCTGTTGAGGATCCACTTCTTGTCTACACACAGATTAAATTACATTAATGCTAACTCATGGTCACTCCAGTTTGACTGTGATTCATGTTTTCAATGAGCTAAGGTAAAGATTGTGTGATTATCTCTAGATGTTTAATACAGTACAATGTGTGTTCCCCAGCACCTTTTTCGCAGGATAGCAGTATTAACATACTATTTTTAAAAAGAACTTGGGTTTAGAATTAATTTACTAGAAAAACCTCTGGTCTAGGTAGCTCTGCCATTATTCAGTGGATGTGAGCTTGGGCTTTTCACTTAATTTTCCAAGACTTAGTTACTCCTGGAATATTATAATTATAATATTACTATTATTACTACTAATTATTCATTATCTGTTCATTATTAGATATTACTATTACTAATAATGTTCATATACTAATATAATTATTATTAAAGGGGTATTAGAAGGAATAGACAAGCTATCTGAAAATTCTCAACACTGTACTTGTTTCTCCACATACAAGAGCACTCCAAAAAGTTCCTGGAAAATAGAATCAAAGAGTGAGTTTGTTTTGGTGCAAAAAATGTGACAAACATGCATAATTTTTTTAATAGTAAACATTTTCCATGAACTTTTTGAAGACCCCTTGTATGTTATAGAGACTGTTTGATTCCTTGGTTGATTGATCTATTGATTGACTTCCCAGTGGAAAGCCACAGCAGTGGTTTGAGGTTGAGATTGGTGCAGAGTTGTTTGGCACAAAGTAAGAACTGACTGTTCTTTTCCAGGTTTCAGTCTCCTAACCCACATAAATAGCTTCCTCATTATGCCTATCTTGCTATTTTGTGCTAAGGACAGAATGCACTGCTACTCTAAACACTCACACTTGGTCTTTTGGGTGGTTCTGAAGGTACATACTGCTCTCAGAATTTTTCATTGTTCTTAATTTAAAATTTGTTTTCAACAACTTGATGAATATTTCTCTTGTAATTGTATCAAGAAGAGGGTACACACTTTTCCTCTGGTGTATTCTTGCATCTACATGGGCCTGACAGGATACGATGAGACTAGTTGGAAGAAGAATAGAGGAAGAAGAAATGGCCTCGGTTCACTGCATACCTCAACTGTGTGCAGGCCATCTCAAATCCTTTTTTGAAACATGAGAAATTAAAGCAAAAGAAAGAACTGGCAATACTCACGTTTATAATATTGCATGTGAGTATAAATAGTTTACTGTATTTAATGCAGTAATAATACTGGTCAGCATTTATTGAGTTACTAGGACTAGATCTCAAGTCCTCAGATTCCCAGACATAGTGCTGAATGCTTTATAAATTTCATTTCCTGTAATCTCCACAACAATTTGACCTTACAGATAAAGAGAGTTAAGAAAGTTGGAACGATATGACCCAATAAAATGTCTTAATTTAATTACATATTGCTGGTAAGTGACACAGAACTGGGATTCAAATCAGATCTGTCTGACTTCCAAATATATTTACTACCTTCCATTTAGTTGTGCAAGTTCTGACACCTACATTAACTGAGCAAGCCTGTAAAAAAAAAAGTACACTACTTTTTCTACTTCCTTGGAGATTTAAATTTAACATTCATTGCCTGCAAATAATTTTTTAAATATAAATTTTTTCCTTCACCCCTTTTCATAACTGATTTTTATTGTTATCGTTTACTCATGGCCTGCTTACTGGTCATGAGAAAATATTATTTTAATTCTTCATTGTATTTCATTCACTTATTTATTTATTTATTTATTTATTTACTTTTGGAGAGGTTTTTGCTATAGGGCATGTGTGCTCACCAGAAAGACAGAGAGACAGAGACAGAAAGCGAGAAATCACTCCCCAGGGGGAATGGCCATGCCATAATCCCTTCTTCTCCATTCTCCTCTCAGGATCTTGGGCATGCACGCACACACACCCAGCATGAGTTTAAGCCACCGGGTCCCGGGTTTGAAACGTGGTTGACTACATGGGAGTTCAGTGACATAGCCGTTACACTAACTGCTGGTCCCATCACTTATTTTTAATAAATTCATTTAACTTTTCAAGGCTTTGAATTCCATTTTTAAATTTCTTTGTTTTAATTCTTACTTTTAGTTCTGTTTTATTTTTTTTTACATTTTATTATTGTTACTATTTATTTTAATTTCTTGTATACATTCTTAGCTCAGTTTTAATTTTAGTTGGAAACATCATGGGAATTTTCCATTTCACCTACTTCCCATTTCTTAAAGACTTTTTTCTATTTGTTCATTGTATCTCAGAACTTGGGATCTTCCTCTCTCCCTACTCCTGTCCACTAGATCTATAAAAACAATTTAGAAGCTTATATTACACAAGATTAGTTTGACTGATGATATAATTATTCATCCACTTTACCACCAAGTTCATTTTTTTTCTTTGACACACATCTAACATTAGACCATTAGTAAGTCTTTCAGTCTCAAGTGGTTGTAATCACATATGACTGAGTCTTTACTGCTTCTCGATTTTCTCATTTGTAAAAGAAAATTCATAACTCATTTGATTTTCATTTATATAATGTCACACACACACACACACACACACACACACACACATCCCTGCTTGCATTCTTTCATCAAAGTATATAGTAGAAGATCATAATCCCTTAACCAGAAATCCCTGGGGTCAAACGCACTCAGAATTTATGCTCTTCTCTATATGCCCAGTTTTCACATATTCCTTCTATATACCATAATCCCCAACAGCCTGTGGATGCACTTGGTAATAAAATGACATATCTCTGCAGCAAAATTTTCACTATAAATGGGCTAAATGATGCCTATGAATAGTCTTAAGTCATTGACACACCAACATTTTTTTAAATGTTCAGCTTTTAGACATTGTTTTGGAGTTTTGAATTTGCAGATAAAGGAGTGTGATTTTTATTCGTGGTGATTTATCTGAAATTATAAAGCACTATGTTCAACACAATTATGGTGTAATACAATAGCTTGCCTTACCTAAGTTGGCTTTCCGTAATTTCTTTATTATCCAGTTGGACCAATGGAATTCTAGTAAATCTCTTACTGTCTTCTATTGGGATTTTGTGTTCTATTCCCCTGTAATAATCTTGAAGGAGTCTCTTTGTATCTTGGAAACGGTTCAGTTCTGCCTTTAATAGCAAATGTGAATATTAACATTTAATAACAAGCAACAAGCTGATCTGTACATATTTTTTCATATAAAACTCTGTAAGCACTATGTTTAAAACATTTAGGCTGAAATTAATTTTCTGAAAATTAAGAAAGAACATTGGTCAAGACAGCTTTAATATAATATTCTTCTAAGCTTGAAAGAAATTTAAATAGGCTTTCTTCCTGACTCTAGGGCTTTGACTTCCTGACTCTAGGGCTTTGACTCCCACCCCTCTTTTTTTTTAGACCATTTACTTTAACAAAACTTGTTATTGTAAATCCTTTTCCTGTTTCTTTCAGATGTAAATATTTTTAATAAGATCTTAATAGGTTTACTACCCAGGAATGCTTTTTTCCAAGGACCTGACAACTATCCATTTGAAATTAATTAATCATTGGAGAAGATAGTGCCTCTATCTTTCAGTTCCTGTGGAGGGTAGGAGACTAACTTCAGTAGTTGCCTTGCCGGAAGCTATGACTAAATATAATGAATTATCTCCTGTAATGAAGATAAAAGAAAGTCTACTTTTTCTCTGGTAGGCCAATTAGCAAAGATTGATGGTCTAAGGCCCTCTACCCAACACCAGCTCTTCAAAGCTCCCAGCCTTGGCAGAAGTGGGTATCCCAGACATGATCTGTGCTTTCTTAAAATCAGCATCTACCTTCTTCTTTTAGTCTGTGAGCTTTTTAATGTACTGGTTTGTGACTAGCAGTTGATCAGTTTGTTTTGATGAATGGTCTGTTTTTCCAGTCAAGTATTGGAAGGCCTTTCATTTTCAGGAGTTAAATGCTTGCTGGATCTTCTCTGGTTCTGTGGTAGGCCAACTTTTTGGGGCTCTGGCTGACCACTTCCGGAGTCACTTTGAGAGGCCAATGAGGTACATAATACAGGGGTAGACAGTTTCTGCTGTCCCTGTCTACGAATCTAGGCCACCTGGAAGCAAAGCCGGTGAGTAGTGGCTTGAGATAGTCCTGGTTTGGGTGCTTATTTGACCTAGACCAAAATGTTTTATTTCACTAATTTTCTTAACAAGTTGGATCTCATACTATGCAGAAGGGCTAAGAGCAAAATGAGCCCTGAACAGACCAGACCTAGAAAAACACTCCCAAGGGAGTTGTTAGATGAGAGACACAGCTGCATGAGAGTCTCTTGTCATCTTGTCGGTCAGCTCCTACCTGCATCAGTGAAAAGTAGTGGTTCATCATTATGCCGAGAGAGTCCTGGAGCCAGCTCTCCTGAATGATATCCAGCCGCTCCTGCTCAGCCTCCTCCTTGCGCGCCTCACAGATGTCCCACAGGCGGTCTCGCAGATCCTGAACAGAGAAGCAGCACATTGATGCTCCAGACTCAGGTTAAATAACCTTAGTGTAATGAAGCTGAAACCTTTGGTCCTTTGAAGAAAATGTCCCTAATGTAATTGTAGACCTAATGCACTCACGCATTATATTGGTTCATTCAACCAGTACTTACTGTACTTAATGTGCTTCCTCTGTCCGGTCTCATTGGCCAAGCCCACTTCCCTGAACCACACCCGAGTTGACTGCACATTGCCTTCACTTTGCTTGATTAAGGGGTGACTATAGCTTATGTATTTGACTCCTTCCTCAGAAAATCTGTTTGGTTGAAAAAGTCATTTCAGTGAAACTTAGAAGGAAAACAATGTGTTTGGAGTAAAAGAAATATACCGAAATACACAGTATTTAACATCAAGGCCACAGGTTAATTACTATCACAAGTGAAATATGCCATTCACCAAAAAATGTTTTCTGAGCTTTAATGAAATGATACAAAAATCAGTTTTGGATTAAAAAGCTAGCAGCAAAAATATCTTTTAAAGATCCTAGCTCTGTCACTCAGCAGATCTTAGGCAGTAACAAAGATGATACATACAAAAATTTATGAATAAAGTTTATATATTTATACATAATATGATATGTAATAGTGCATTTGCAGCTAGTTTGAAAGCTAAAATAATAAATTATTTATATATTTTATAAGTTATATGTAAATATAAATGACAATGGTTATTGTGTACAAGGTCTTTCTATGTGGGTCACTGTGTCGGAACATAAGTTACTATACTTCGATTGAGTAATTTAATGTATTGCAACAACCTTAAATAGGTACAATAATTATCTTCATTTTATAGATGAAGAAACTGAGTCACAGAGAAGTTATTTCCTTGGGTCACACAATGAGTGTTGAAGCCAGGATGTGAACTGAGGACTTGAATAACGTACACTGCTCTATAAGACCTCAGTGACTTTATCTGTAAAATTAAATGTATTAAATGTATTAAAGAGAATAAATTAACTTGTGTATTTAAGTACTCAGCACAGTGCTCAGCACACAATTCTTTGATTAATGCAAGCTATTGGTATTATTATAATCTTATTTATAGTAATAAAATATTTACTATTCAATAAAATATCCCATTAATGAAGCTAATCCAGTGTGATAAAACATGACAGTTTTTGCAATAATAATAATTCATTGAACACTCAATACTCGTTAGGCATTTATGAAGGGTTCTACAGTGACTATTTCCTAATTCCCACAATAGTACATTTCTGATGAGACAATTGAGGCACAGACAGAGTAAGTCACTTTTCTGTAGTTTCACGTATTCCTTTGGTTCATTCAACCATTCTTACTGTGCTTCCTCTGATAGAGTCAAGAACTTGAACCCAAGCAGTTTGATTCCAGTGTCTACAGTGAATGGTATTTGTGAGATGCCGGGTTTATAGAACATTTTGTGTTTAAACTCTTAGCTTAGCATTTCAGATTGTTACTTTGTGGTGTCCTCACATAAAATAAAAATATCCCATCATTTTTATAGCCATATTCTAAGTGGAACAATACACCATTACTTTAGAGCTGGTCGTAGTGTCTCCGTGATGTTTTCGCAAATGCTGTTGAGTATTGACTTGTGCTCATCAAATATTTACATATTTTTAAAAGATAGGACAGGACACAGCAGAGAAAAAAGTATAAAAGCAGGGATCTGGAGACCTTGGTACTTTTTATTTTTTTTCTTTCTGCTACTGATTCACTGTAAAACTTTCGTAAATAGCATCTTTATGACTCAGTTTTCTAATGGGCAAAATGAGGATGATTGCAATAACAGAAACTTTAAAGAAATTATATAGGATTGAAAGAAAGTAATCCTAGAACAAGTATTACCAGGGATAAAGAGATATTAAAACAATGAGAGCTTATTATGGAATTACCCATCGGCATGGCAGACTAACAATTTGTTTCTCAAGAGCTATGGAATTATAAAAATGTCTAAAATAATTAGAGATGGATTATATTTAAGAAAGAATCATGACTATTAATTGAGAATACTGTAGATAGAAAACATTAAAAAAGTACACTTTCACAGAAGCTATAGATTTTGTTATTTCAAAAATCCAAATTCAACTTGTATTGTGCTTACTAGAGACACATAACAATGAAGCAACACAAAAAGGGCAAATGTGAAAATGTATATGAGGCAAATACAAATTGAAAATAATACAAGCAGGGGGCCAGCAGGTGGCATGGTGGTTAAGGACTCCTACATGGCCAAGTGCAGTTAGAGTCACAGACCTGGTGACTTGCTTTCTCACTTTCTCTCTCTGTCTGTCTGTCCCTCTCTGGTCAAATTAAAATAAATAAATTAATTACATTAAATTAAATAATTATTTAAAATATAATAATAATACAAGTGGAGCTGGTAGGTGGCATGGTGGTTAAGGTGCTGGGCTCCCACATGTCTGACCATGGTTCAAGTCCTGACCTGGTGGCTTGCATTCTCACTTTCCCTCTTTCTCTCTCAGCCTCTCTCCGATCCCATTAACAATAATAGTAATAATCAATAAAATTAATAATAATTCTTTTTTTTTTTCCAGAGAGGTTTTTGTTATAGGGTGCATGTGCTTGCCAGAAAGACAGAGAGAGACAGAGAGACAGAAAGGGAGAAATCATCCC